ATAGGTAACATAATTTGTATCCTTTCATAAATAAATAGCATTATACTATATACTTTCCATCTTCTTAATAATTACTCTATAGTATTACATGGAAATATTCACTGCTTTTTACATCCACATAGTCAATTATGTTCATGTACCAGGGTTTATGATAGTTTTAAATGGGAGATACATATATGTGTATTATATATATATTTAGATGAATTATATTTCATTAAATGCCTCTGGCTTGTGAATTTAGAAATCCACCAAAAGTTACAAGGCTGATTATTTAAAGCCTACGTTTTAAATAGGGTGTACATGATGCCTAGATGATGAATACATCTACATATAGTGGGTATATCTGGATGCTACAGCCGAAAATGTTTCAACAATTAAATTTTAGGTTTTCTGGCCATATGAACAAGAAAAAACATGTATTGGAGATACTTATCCAGCCCATGAATTCTTAAGAACCTGCTTCCTATCTAAAATGTCCAAGCATGGATTGAACTAAAAAAAGGCAGTGTACACTGGACACAAGAGTTTGTTATTCAATTATTCTGACTGATGAGCATTCTAACATTAGCATGCTGAATGAGGTAGGGGTTATATACAGAACTACTCAGACATTAAAGAAAACAATAATAGCTAACTCTTATGTGTTCTTAACCATAGAGAGGCACTGAACAAAACACTTTTTGAGTATTAATTCACTTAATCTTCAAAATTCTGTGATGTAGGTACTAGTAATATTCCTGTGTTAAAAAATAGAAAATTAAGACACAGAGATTAAGTCATTTTCATAAAAACACAGAGTCAGGAAATAGGCTGTGATTTCAACTCAGGCCTACTAGCTCCAAAACCCACAATTCTCATCTTTATGCTACCCTGTCTGAAAATTATCAAGATGAGACGAAAATAACATTCAGAAGGTAGAAAAATAAACTGAGATGATAGAAGCAATGCAACAATAAACTAAAAAAGAAGACAAAAAACACAAGAAATAAGTAGGGGAATTTGATTTTATTTTTTACAAATTTTAAATGTTCCAAAACATTTTACTTGGATATTTTCACTAGAAGTAGGAAAAACAAAACAGTAGAGAACATCAGCATAAATATATAATACATACTTTAATCATGGCTATATTAAATGTATCTTAATGTAATACTTCCATAAGTACAACAATTCATATGTGTTTTAAAAAAATACAGAGATGTGGTAATAGAGTATTATAGAATTTTGGATTTGTGGCAGATGGGGAACCCTTACTGAAGGGGCCCTAGAAGAAAAAGGAAGGTGAAGAGAAAAGAGACAGTCTAAAACTAGCATGTTAACCAGCTGTGGGTTCTTGAAAATACCATTAAATGAATCTAGGAATGCTTTTAGACATAGCTCAAATTTTAAAGAATATCAGAGAATTTGCAGCTGGACTGTAAAGGAATGTAATTTTATGTTAGGTTTTAGCAATGACTCTTACCTCACTCTAGTATAGGCAAAGGAATAAGGAAAAGTCATAATTTGCACCTTTATCAGTATCAATTAATTCACAATGGCCAGAAACCCTATAAGTAGCAAATCAGGCCCTTAATTATGTGTTAAAGTCTTGCTGACTTCAGAAAATTCATACTGGGAAAAGAATCATACAAATTTAAGAACTGAAAAATCCTTTAGCAGAGTTTAAATTTTTAATTAGCTATCAGAGAATTCAAATTGAAGAGAAACCCCACATGTACAAAGTGCAACAGACCTTTAGGTAATAACATCACCCAGTAGTAAAGACCACACTAAAAAGAAATCCTTTAAATGTAACAAAATGTGAAGGTCTTAAGTAGTAAGTCATACCTTAATTCAGTATCAGGATTTCCATACGAAAGAAAAACTATATTTATGAATATACTATAAATACAAGGCATTTACACAACAGGGTTGAATTTGAAGACACAATGTTTCAGCAGTAGACAGGTGCTTAGAGGTGACTTCCCCACCACTTTAGGTAAAACAACACCCACCCCAAATCCTGTTAGCCCCTTCCCTGCTTTACTCTTCATAGTACTGATCACTTGACACTATACTCCTTAAAATGCTTTGCGTTATTTCCTCCTCAAGAACTCTGAAAGAGGAGGGAGTTTAGTAGTAATACCCTTAGTGCCTGAGACAAAAGGCAGTAGTTGCTGAATGAATGGATTATACTACTTTCCTTATATAGAATATTTGGTATTCTAAGGTGATTTCATTCTAAATGAAAAAGAATTTACTTAGAAGGCCTTAACACATACAAAAAAATTTTTTTTTTCATTTATCACACACCAGAGTAAAAACCACTGTTACTGTTATGGTATACAAATTATTCTCCAATTGTTTGGATAATGGAAAGTTGTACAAAAAAGCACCCAGTAATACCCTCACCAACCAGTGAGTCTACAAGGGTCATGAAGGCAAAATGAAGTTACAAGCTTCTGAAGATAAAATTCTCTTGTTTTCTCAGGTTTGGAATCTAAATAATATTTTCCTCCTCTGAGGAGATATATATCAACCACTGGTATAAAGAGCATGGCAGTTTGGAATCCAATAGCAGCAACTCTTTTGTGCAGTTTGACACTTTGAATCATGCCTCATTAATTAAAAAAAAATTACTAAGGGTGACCATGCCTGAAGCACTGTGTGTAAAGGTACATTTCACCCAGTAGTAAGGAAAATAATTACAAAACAATGTGATAAGTGTGATAGCACAGGAGGGGAAAACTTAGAAAATATAACAAAGAAACATCTAATTTAGACTGGAGAAGGCTGATAAAAGTTTTTGGACACAATATCAATGACACTGCATCCTAAAAGATAAGTAGGTGTTCACTTGGCCACAAAGAAGGGCAAAGAATTAATGATGTCTACCAAGTTATTAAGACTAAAAAAACACAAGCATATTTGTAGAAAGAACTGGAAGTACTTTTGACTGATTGATCATGATCTCTAAAATAAAAAGGGACAGTCTGTGCTTCTAAAAACCATATTAAAAATTCCTTAAATATTTATATTCAGAAAGCACAAAGGTATTTTCATAATAAAACCTGCTAAAACGCTAAGTTAAATACAAATCTTCTTGGCTGTGCAAAGATAAGCCAGAGGGCTTGGCAGGGATGGGGAGAATTTCTCCTTGCCCTGAAGGCTCTATATGAATTTTTATGTTTATGAAAAAGAAGTATGGGTTTTCAATGTTTGATTACACAGGATGTTTACAAAGAGAAAGCTGGAAAGGTATGCAACTCTGCAAAAGTTCTAAAAATAAGAAAACATGAAGCAGGAAAGATTATGCACAAAAGATGAGGATTTGATGTTTGGACATACTGAACTTAAAATTACTGTGGAGGTTTTTCTAAGTGAAGATTATTTAAGAGACCTTTAGAAATGAGATTTAGCAAGCAAGAGGGAGGCTGAGGTCCAGGTTACTGATTTGGGAATCAGCTTGATATTATAGGTGGTAGAGGAAGCAATGGCTGTGAATGATACCATATAACAAGATTATTAGAGTAAAAAGGAGGGGAAAAATGAGGGAAAAGGGGGACAGAAGAAAGAGAACTCTAGTAGAAAATGAGAAGTCACCAGGAAAACGAGGGAAATAACACAGATGAAATCTGTAACAGATTTATCTTCAAAAGGAAGCAAGCAACCTCTTTTCCTCTGAACAGGGGAAAATGAATAAAAATAGTAAATACTTGCTAATATCCCTCATAGCTTCAACTTTGTGTATGATAGGAGGAAGGGCCATGCTCTAGGGGAGGGACAGAGTATCTGAGGAAAGTGACAAACTTTGGCTCAAATACAGTGGGAAAAGGGAAAGGCCACCTAGTGACAAACAAAAGGCTTATTGTAAGGACTTGGGAGACAATGTGATTCCACTTTGAAGGACTACATGCCCTTCCCACAGAACTCAACAACCCAGAAAAGGTAGCTCATTCAATGTTAGGGCTCACAGAATGACTAGGCTAAAGAATATGACAGAAGGAACAACTAGGGATAGTACATAAGGTGCACCAGAAAGCTGAGGGTAAACAGGGAAGAAAGAAAACCTGAAAGGGGTTTGATAATTTAGGAGTAAGAAGAGCAAGAAAAGGCTGTGAAGAAGCTATAGATGACACAAAAATCAGGGAATAAAAAAAGAGGAAAAGATGAGAATTGTCATCAGTTACTGAAATTTGAGATTTCAGAAGGGAAACTCAGGATAGTTAATACTGAAGCTGCTGGAATGTGATACAGTCACTAGAGCAGAAGTCCAGTTTATTACCAAGGTATCAGACAGCTTATCCCAAGATAGCAGGAGCTGAGGTAGACAGGAAGACAGTAAGCAAGATATCAAATCAGGCTCTTTGGCCTTTAGCATTCCATCCCTATTATTAAGGGCAAAAAATGATAAAACTTCAAAAGTTGTGCCCTAAAATTGTATGAAGTAATGACAAACTAACCTAACCTTCCTTACTTGAAATATGCATCTTATTTTAAACAAAACAGGAAATCATTTTTAAATTTTCATAGGATGCCTAATAATTTTTTTTAAGTATTAGGAGATTGAACCAGGGCTTCATGGATGCTAGAATTAAAAACTGTAAATATGATTTGTAGTAATACATGGAAAAAGAGCTTAAAACAATGATTCCTTTGTGGAGTCTTTTGTTATTGACCTTATTGGAAATGGCATCTGAATATTAGTCATAATCTTTCATTTTGCCTACATTTTTATTCAGAATATCTGTTCAAAGCAATGAGGTGAACTGAAGGATAGCAAACTTTAAGAAAGGGAAATTAGAGTTTATGCTATATATATATTTAAAACAAACAAAAATAACTTACTAAAGTATTAGGAGGGAAAAATATCTGACAAGCTAAATTGGGTTCCCCCATACTAATGACAGGATACCTGTATTCAAGCTGAGTTAGAATAAAATATATGCCATCTTAGACGTTAAGAAATCATTTCCCCCCCCACACAGGTTTAAGAATATACAATGAAAGATGAGGATGGCATTTAAAGAAGGGCAACCATACTGGGTATCTATATTACTATAACATCAAATTCAGTATCAGTATGTCTTTTTTTTTTTTTTAATTTTTTTTCCATCACATGGGTCTTTTTGTCTTTCTGATTGAAAAAGACCAGATGAATTACTACTTACAGGACTGCTGAAAGAAATTTAAAATTTGTTTTGCATTTGTTGTATTCCACTCTTGTTCCTTCAGGGGTCCTTCACACACAGACACATACTTTTTCAAAATTTTTTCTCCTACTTCTCGGAAATCCAAGGATTCCTTGTGTGTCATGCAGCTTGCTCCAGAAACACCAGTATCCATTTCACGATTTTCTGGCTGTTGATCCACACAATGTTTCAATCCCCAGTAACACATTTCTCCACTGTACATCATAGCCAGCAAATGAATGTCACTAAATATTCCTGGGAAGGTCATTTATGATGAGAGATCAGAATTAAATTTAAAGAGAAATCCTAGTTGTTAAAACTCTAATAAATTCCTTGTCATTAAACATCTTTTCATCTCATTTACTTTAATAATAACATCTAGAAATGCCAAATATCACTAATACTATTCTCATTTACACTGTGCTTTTTTCTCCCTATTAACTTATAAAAGATGTTCATCACAACAATAAAACCAGTATTATCAAAGAATTCTTTTAAAGAACTGTCTAAGTTAGTGATCTTAACCTTTGGGGGATGCTCTTAAGGACCTCTTAGAGAATTAATCAGTGGAACTTCTCTCAGAAATATACTCCAAATTCTGTATCATTTCAAAATACTCATAAATTCCCTGAATCCAACCCATGAACATAACTCTTATTTTGTGGAATACTCTGGGATCATTGATATAGCTATAGTCAGGTATCCTACAGCTCTTATATTTTTCAGTGTCTATCAAAATCACATATCATCATGCCCCTGGAGAGGTCATACAATTTCAAATTATCAGAGGTGTTTATACCACAGGATTTTGATCACAAGTTGAGTGAATTCTTCTTTTGAGTAGTTTTTCCAGCAGCCAATTATATATTAACACTTATGGTATATAAAATATATTGATTTGGTAGAAGATTTCAAAAGACTTAGAGCCAGGTGCAGGAGCACACACCTGTAATTCCAATGACTCAGGAGACTGTGAGGCAGGAGGATTGCAAGTTCAAGGCCAGCCTCAGCTAAGAGGCCCTAAGCAATTTAGTGAGACCCTATCTCAAAATAAAAAATTATAATTAAAAAAAGTGTAAATATGATTTGGGTATGAGATCATACCTAGGAGAATCACCAAAGCTCTTTGAGTCTGCTTGTAAATCAGAAAAACTGGGATTCCACATGCCCTAAACATGGAGTTTTTTAAGGAACACATGAAATTAAAATGTGTTTCAGAAAACAAAGTCTTATAAAAATACAAGATCATTTAACTTCTTAAGGCCACTAAAATACAAATGAATGGTTTATTCTAATGTACAAATAAATACTTTATTCTAATGTAGAAATAAATGATTTATTCTAAGGTACATTATAATAAACACATTAGAATTGTGTGATTATAGGGGCTTGAACAGGAGCTTAGCGGTAGACCGCTCGCCTAGCTCGTGCAATGCGAGGGGTTTGATCCTCAGCACCACATAAAAATAAATAAATAAAACAAAGACATTGTGTTCAACTACAACTAAAAAAATATTTAAAAAAAAATTGTGTAATTATAAAACATACCTCAGTGATTATGAGCATCATAATCTCAATTCCTCACTTAATTATGGTTCAACAGAAACTATGACCATAATGGCATTAGATTAACAATTCAACTTTCAAAACCTGTACTTTACTATTTTAAATCTACTAAAAGATATTTGAAGTTTCACAATTTTTTTTTTACATCTATCATATTCACTTCACCTGAAATTCAGCTTATAAACAGTGGCAAGATAAGCAACAGTTCAATGGAATAGCTGATTCATTAATGCATTTATTAGTTTAAAAATGAAAAAAAGGGCAGAATCTGAGATTTGCATTCATGAAAATGATAGGCTACACTATAATATATATGATACTATTACATATAATTATATGTAGTATATAATCATATATATTACATATTGTATATAATTACATATAATACTATTAAATAAAATATATAAGTACAATGCCTATTACATATAATTTCTTTTTACTTTTTTTTTTAATATTCATTTTTTAGGTGTAGATGGACACAACACAATGCCTTTATTTTTATGTGGTGCTGAGAATCAAACCCAGGTCCCGCCTGTGCTAGGCGAGCACTCCACCGCTGAGCCACAATCCCAGCCATTCTTTTTACTTCTTATTAGTTAAGATCATAAACCTCAAAGCAAAAGCTAGAGAGAGCACTATATAATCTAGTATTCAGGATTATTTTATATTAGATATGGCATTTTATTAAACAAATATCCTTTTTATTTGTGTGATCCTACACCTTGAGTAGATAATACTAGAACCACTAGTGTAGGTAAGAAAAGCAAAGCAAAATGGAGGGAAGGCTTAACTTAAAACCTTCAAAAGCCTTGGGGGATGGGACTAACTACATCCCACAAGGTGTGAAGTGACCTGGGAAAGGTGAGAAGTACCTGCCTAAGTGGAGATCTGAGATCTCACCCCATTCTTTAGGTAAGCCTCATTTTCTACATTAGCAAGGAGTCAACTGCTTACTAACATACAGATATCCTTTGAGAAGGTGTTATTAGAAAGAAAATGATTAGCTATATGTGAAATAGTTCTTACACTTTAGCCTGCATTTGAATTAACTGGCAGACCTAATTAAAATGCTCACTGCTGGGCCCCACCTTAGAGTTTCAGATTCAGGTATATATAAGTTTGAACCTAAAAGTTTGTATTTTTTAGACAAATTCCTAGGACCTAGTAATGTGGGCCATGAACAAGTCAAGATGGCACCTGGCAGTATGCTAGGAAGAATGGTTTGAGAAGTAACGCCAGCGAGTCATTAAGATGATGTTAAGTAAGTTAAGGTTTGAACAATTATTAAGATGATGAGGATTTCTGGATCTGGATGATGTTAACTGAAACAAACTGTGTATATATAATCAGTTAAGTGTATATATACCTCTGCCGTCCTACAATAAAGCGGCACCTGCTGTTTCAACCTTCACAAGTTGCTTGTCACACACACCCCCACCCCCACCCCGTAAGACGGATGAGGACTAGGCGAAACTTCTGTGGTTCCTATATTTTCTTTTTCCCTGGAAATTGCTTTAGTACCATATCCGACCCTTTTAATTACCCTGTGAAAGAAGCATTTGAAGCGAGTTCAAAGCATGACTAAAGAGAAGGCACTAATATATTGCCTCCCAAGAAAGAAAATTCCAGGCCACAGAGTATCTTACCTTAAAACCAGATATAGGAGAATGAGGGAAACAGATGACTTGTGTGACTTTCTCTGGTTCTAAATAGACTTCAGTGCTAATCCTCACCTTTTTCTTTTAAACAGTGTTCCAGGTTAAGTATTTAATGGAATCAGTCCATGTAGGACTGACTTGAGGTGTGGGTTGAGGAAACTGTTTAAAAGATCATTTTCAATAACTCTAATTAGTTCATTAGTCATCTGGTATAACTAATGATAATATATATTTTCTATAAATACATCAAAACTATATTTGTAGGATGTCATGCTCATTGTGTGAACTCTGTATTCACAATAGGTTGTTTTAGGATAAGATGGTTGTCTGAAATAACAGAACATAACAATTTTTAGACATCACTACAAAGTCTTATGTTAACAGTATTTAAATCACCAGTTTTTGTTTAATTAAATGTTTTCAAATAGAACAGCTCAGGAAGCTAGCAAAGTAACAAAAAGAATTAAAATGTATTTTAAATTCTAGAATCTTCCTCAAGATATTTTCTTATTTCTCACATTTCATTTCTCCCATAACCATTTCAGATGAAACATACGAAATGAAAATTTACAAGTATACTCCTGTGTCAACCACAGCTTTGTGACCTTAAAGAGATCCCTTGATTTACCTGGACCTCAGTTCCTCCATTAAAAAAAAAAAGATATGGTAAAAGTCAGTTCTTTCCCTAACTTCAGTTCAAAATTCCAATGATGCCCAATATCCAGTTCTTAGAACTGTCAAGTGCATAGATATTTGTATGAGAAACAGCTGCCATCCAATATTTATCCTCTCCCCACCTTCTTAGTAAAGAATTTTAATTTGGAAGGGTAATGTTATCATGTTAAGAACTATACTTTCCAAGTTTCCTCACAGCTAGGTGAAGTGATTGAATTAAACTGGCCAATGAGTGGAAGTACTATAAGAGCTTCTGAAAAGGTTGTTAAGGAGCTGACTGGGTTAACAAAATGCCCTTCTGCCATTCCAGAAGCTTGAAACACAAGTGAAACAGAAGAGGCTCTGGGAGCATTTTGGAATACTGAGCATGAAAGCAGTGCCCTAAACAGGGATACCTCCTGTAAAATTCTGTATCATCACTATTGTACTCTAAATAAAGTGCCTCCCTCTGAAGCTTAAGAACTCTGATTCTAAAGAGGATAGAAGAAAAAGATAAGAACATGATGTCATGGAGTCACTATAACCTTAATGGATTTTTTTTAATGTGAAAGAGCATTAAATGTCTACACTGTTTAAGTTACTTCTTATCTAACACAAATAGACAAACCTTGTTCTAATCAAGGCCATGCAGGAATGCAAAATATGTAAATACAAAACTCTCCCCAAATTATTAAACAGCAGAGGTTAGAAGTACATTACATGAAAAGACTTTAATCTCTGAATTCCTTAAAAAGATCTGTTATTACTTTTTGTCTATAATTTAGCTTGAAATGTATTTAAAATACAGAGTAAAATCTAACAAACTTTCTAAAATCTTAAAAAACTTTAAATCAATTAGAAAATGTTGAAAAGAAAAGAGATCACATTACCTGCACTCAGTAATTTAGCTGTGTCTAAGTCTTGAAAAGAAACTCCTTCATTTAACTGGATAGGACACCGATAATTTAGCATTTGTAGTAAGTAATTGATTCCATCAACAAGGTACTAAATAAAAATCAAAGCCAAAGAATTAAAGTATTATATACAGAACTATCGACTTCAAATACTTTTTCCCATTCTTTGCCAGAGAAAATGGGCTAGTATACAGATATATCTAATGGTTATTAAATTTCAATGGTATAAGGTCCCACGACTCTATATTCTCATAATGTAAGTATATTCCTCCAAATAATAATACAGAAAAGAAAATGTTAACCAAGAACACATGCTACAGTAAAATCCTTATCAAAAAAATACTATTAAAGGAAGAAAAGGATAAATATCATAAAGATGTGTAAAAACAAGTTATTACTGTGTACAATACTAATTTATTAATGTGTACAATACTAACACCCATGTCTGTCTATAATTTGGTCAGAACAGACAAGATGACTCAAGAGAACCACAACTTTCTAGAAGCAAGGTCATGTGGGCTCTTTAGCAGTAATTTACTGACAGATGGAGGCTTGATCCAAATATTTTCTTCAGACAAAAAAAAATTATATATATAGAGATGTATATGATTAGGAATTAATATTATTTATTTTATATTAAAAAGTTAAAATCCAGAACTTAAAAAAGCAGGTAGAAGCCTCAAATTACAAAGTGCTTTCACATTATCTTATTTAGTAAAAGACCTAGAATGCAAGCCCAGACTCTTTGATTCCACTACTCTTAATATTATAATAAAGACAGCTTTTTGAAACCTAAATGTCAACAATCAAAAATGTATAAGAAATGTCTTTTTACCTTTTTAAGCAAACTAGATTTTTTCAAGAGCCACTCTCTTCTTTTGGTCAGAGAATGACAATACATATACAGTAGGGCTCCTCGTCTCCAAGAGAGACATTCAAGTAGCTCATCCCCAAGCAAATCACAAAGCTGAAACACACACACACAAAGCCAAAAGAGAAACCTGATGTCTTTTGGTCAAATTAGAAGTCAAATTTCAAAAAATTGAGCAATTAAAAACACTCACTTCACAAGAGGTGCCCCAGTTTACTAATTTACACAGAAATGCCTATCTTTGAATCAAGCAGAAATACTGAAATTTATTAGTATGTAAAAATTAAAATAACTTTTACATTTACAAATAGTTTTACAAAATAATTCTAAAAATATTTTAGTAGCTAATTCCTCTAACATATTTGAAATATAGTCTACAATCTGATTAAAAATATAGCTTTTCAGAAGTGTTAGTTGAAAAAAGATCATGTCTATTTCTTTCAAATAAAGAAATAAACATAAGAGAATCTAATAAGAATTAGATTGCTAGAATAAAATACTGAAAAGTTATACACAAGAATGATTTTAGTAAACCAAAACTTTTGTTGTGGTAAGGCATTTAAATCTTGCAATGTTTTGTTACCATAGTTAGACTCCCCTAATAAATACATACAGCAAAGAAGGTATCTAGGTAGCAAGTCAGCAGGCACTTAAAGATGAGAAATTATTTGCTAGAAAGATTACCCAGGACTAGCGATATAAGCTCTGCAATCACCTAAACAGAGATGATAGTAAAAAGTATGTGATCAGGTTGTCAAGCAAAAATAAAATAGAGACTATCAGAGGAGAAAGTAACGTCCTTAGGGAATGGCAATGTTTCAAGAATAAAGGAGAGAGGAGTTGCTTTGGAAAGAAGAGAAGGCTTCTCAGAAATGAAGGAGAAAAGAGCATGCAGGGGCTCCAAGGGATGGTATGATCGAAAGGCAGCAATTGTTCAGGTGGATCAAGACTAGAAAAAGGATAATAGGTATGGTAATTAGATTTCCAGGGACCTTTAGAGAAAAACACAGCACGTGCAACAGTACAGGGAGCAAAAGTAGGGAATATCTGTGTTTATAATTCCATCATGCAAATATTCTAAAAATATTTAGTAAAATACAATATTTTACTGTCATGTTGGTCTGCAGTGGTAAGCTCTCATACTTCCCTCTTTCAATCTTAAAACAGAAACAAAAATACATTGAAAAAGAAAAAAACAGACACTAAGAGAGCAAGAAAGCAAGAACCAGAAGCATTCCGCAATAACTTACAGTGCAAAACTTACTTTTGGATGCATATTATTTTCTTTAACTAAAATTTCTGGTTCTGAAAGAAAACTGATTAGTTCTTTTACTTTCTGGGAAGAAGAATCTTCAGGAAAATCTTCATCTACTAGCTTATTCTCCTCAAAATATGTCATGTCCAAAATAGCCTGAACAAAAAAGAAAAAAGTATAAGCAATTTAAACTTTAAAGAATTAATATTAGAGTTTAACTTTGCATATGTAGAAGATGTATATGTGTGTATATACATATATACATCTATATCTCATATATACATATATATATATATATCAAACATTCTAGCATGGTAGTTAAATTTGGGAAGTATTCAGAGTGTCTAGCTATAAAAATAACTTGAAATAGGCATTATAAAAAACGTTACAGGTAGTTGCACATGATGATGAACACCTAATATCCTAGAGATTTGGGAGCTGAGGCAAGAGGATTCCAAGTTTGAGGCCAGTCTCAGCAACTTAGTGAGATCCTTTCTCAAAATAAAAAAAGGGCTGGGATGTAGTGCAGTGGCAAAATACCCCTGGGTTCGATTTCCAGTACTAGGGGAGGAGACAACTTTGTAGGCATTTTATTTTATTTAGTAAAACATTGGGTTAATGATTATCTTGCTTCTCTCAAGAAATAAAATGAAGATTATATTTTAACATGTTAATCATATTTAAGAAATTATGAAAGAGTCATGAATTATTATATTCTTTGCTATTTACATATGTATAATCCCTGAATTTTTTTTAAACACCTGCAGTATTAAGGTCACCACTTCTGGTTTTGTATATTGAAATTTTCAGAGGATTTGTTTTCCCAAATGCATAGTCAGTATTTGAGGGCTATATATCTTGCCACCCAATAGTGAATGCATACTATCAACATATGCAATTCAAACACCAAGTCCCCAGCACTCCTAAATATGAAAAACACTCTATTCAAGCACCTTAATATTTTCCAATCCTTTTTCTTTTTTTTAATCTCCTGATTTAAGACTGAGGAAACTGGGTTCTAGTGTCAATTCTACATTAATCATATAACTAACCAAGAACAAGTTAATTTTATCTTTTCTAAGGCTGTTTCTTCACTGGTAAATGATAAATTGGATTAAATGCCTTTCAAAGTTCCTTCAAAGTTTTGAAGATAAAATTAATTATTCCATGTAAAGCACTTGAAACATTACCTAGCACAGTTAGTGATATTTAAAAGATAAATGTTATTGGGTACAAAGCCTAAGCCAGGAAAGAGAGATCACCATCCTATGGAAGATGGTCTGTTAATTCAGAACTCAAAGGTTCTAGAAGATGTGGGAAATCTCAATCTTTATCTCTAGGTCTTTTGTACACTTTGGAAACTTCTTTAAGTACTCTACTTTTTACAACCATTTCATCTTTCTAATCTTATAACAATCAGGAAAAGGCACACAAAAGCACTTTACCAAGTATAATCCAAATGTTATTATAAAGTTTATTTTTACATGTCAGTTTGTCTCAGCAGTATTTGGAACAAAAAAAAAACAAACACAAGGAAACAGGTATTGTCCACAGAAAGACTTGAATTTAAAGGAAAGTAAAAGAAAAAAGGGGGAACAGAAAAATATTATGAATGTGCATGAGATTAGCAGGGGGAACCTGTTTAGAATCCTGAGAAAAGGTGAATTTCAGAAAAAAAATAATAGGACTGTTAAGAGTTCCCTACTCCCTCTGAAGTGTTCAAGCTCTTAAGACACTGAATGTTATTCTGTGTTACCTACACATAAAGGGAAGCAATTCTTTTACCTGCAAGATTTTTTTCCTCACTTTTCAATCAACACATTATATAAATCCCCCTCCTTTGCATACTGCCTCAAAGTTTCAAGTTACTTACTTTATATATATTTTTTCTAAAATTATACATTTTAAATAAAGAACAAACTGGGGCTGGGGATGTAGCTCAGTGGTACTTGCTTAGTATGTACAAAGCCCTGGGTTCAGCACTGCAAAAACATAACAAAGGAAAAAAAAAACCAACTTCATTATTAACTTTGGAGTTAATCACCTACATAAGTAATCTGCCCTCATAAAATGCCAGAATCCACATCTGTTTTCAGTACCTGTGTATAAAGTTCTAGAAGATTTGATGGATTTGAACATTCTTTCTCTTCTCCACATAAAAGTTTCAGTTTTTCCAGAGCTGCTGAGGCCCGAATTAAAAAGTGATCTGTAAAAAAGTTAAAACACATGATTATCTCATAAATTTAGAGTACATAAGTTAAATATCTGAGATGATGAAATGAAACTATATTATAGAATATGAAGAAACAGCAAGCACTATCTTATTCAAAATATGAAGTATAACATAATGTCCAATACTAATTAAGTAAATTTATCATGGAAAGCAAAAGACTGAAAACTTTCTGCATTCTAAACAGAAAACTGCTATTTTCTAAGTGCAGTATATATCTTCATAATGCTTCTTTTATAATGCTGATCCATTCAAAATGCTTAAATAATAAATTTATATAGCTTTTATTATAAGAATACAAATACTTTATATAAATCCACAGAAAGGGCTTCTACTGATACTGTGATGTCATAAAAATAATTGTAAAGGTTTTTTTAAAAGAATATGATTTACCAAATCAAATGTTTCATAAAATATCAGCATTATAAACAATTATAATTATAACCTAACTGTGTTTATAGCTATTACAACTAAAATTGTGTAATAATTGTGTATTTTATTCTTTTAAAACAGACATGAAACAAATTACCTTGTTCCTTCAAAATCTGAGGAAGAAGGAATAATAGGTCTACTTATCACATTCAACTCCTCTTCCCTATCTACTTTTTTTTCTCCTTTTTATATTGTCATTATCCTTTTGCTTCTTCTATGATTTCAGCTATTATGTATTCACACAAAGGCACTATAGATCATTCTATATTACCTCCTTTAGTAAACTTTAGATATGTAAGACACTAAAGTCCCTGAGCTTGCCCCTTTGTGTTTCTCCTCTGAAATACAAATCTTTCCTCCTCTTCTAATGGACACATTATATAGCACTTGGGGTGGGCCCATTTGATCTAGACTCAGCAGAAATTGAGAAGATCCATTAAACTGTTTACTGTCAGACCAAAAGCACCATCAGGATATGTCCATTACCATTCATATGATGACCTTAAGTATTCCCAGTTAAAGACTGGGAAAGATAAAGACCCTTACCAGATTATGACTGCTGTTAAGATTCACTATTTACTTGAACTGAATGCTCCCTATTTAGCAGTCTTCCTATCTGTCCTTGGTCCAGAAGTATCAACCACACAACCCAGAAAATAGATTCTACTATGAACCCAAATTGTACAGAATATAGCGTTCCTTACAGTGCTTCTTTAGAGATATTCACCTTTTTTTTTAACTTGCAAAATTATTATAAGACTTGATTGAATGGTTAGGACTAGAGACCATTATGTTATATGAAATAAGCCAAACTCAAAAGGTCAAGGGTCATATTTTCTCTCATGTGGAAGTTGAGAGGAAAAGGAAAGGAAACAAAAAAAGGTGTTGGGTAATGACTGGGGTGGTCTCATGAAAATCAAAGGGACAAGGGGGTGGAAGGGAGGAGGGAAATACTGAGGAGTAATATTGTCCAAATTATATTGTATGCATGTAAAAATATGTAAAACAAATCCCATCATTATGTACAACTATAATGCATCAATAAAAATATATGGAAAGAGAAAAAAATAAAATGAATACCCTCAGTATCTAAAAAATTTTTAAAAAGACTAAAGTCCCTAAGCAGATTGAAGGCCCTAGACCACTGCTGAATGAAGAGTGACATGACTACTATAGAGATAATGTTATAGTGGCATAACTATCATTTTAGAAAAGTCCATAAAAATGCAATACTTCTACTAGAACTATTCAAACAACCACAGGCAAGTCAAAAGATAAAAAGTGATTCTTATATAATCTCTGGAAAAAGTCCCTCTCATAGAATATTTCCATATAGTAAACATACTGTACTTGTACAATAAGAAAAATATTAACAAATATTGGCCAGAAATATAAAGGAGAGCATTTCCTAGATGGAATAACATCTGATTGTACCTGATCTAATTTGAATAAGTCAATGAGAACTATCGATCCCTACAACCTAGTATGAACAAATAGTTGTTACATTAAAGGACAATTTTTTAATATATATTATTTTGTTGTGTGGGAGACAAATGCCAAGTTTAATTCAAATATACTCAATCTTGCTTTAACTAAACTTTGTAAGAAAATCCTGATAATAATATTTTAATAAGATCAATTTAAATACTGATTAATAGTCCATAATGTTACAGCTACTATTGTATTTAACTTTAATAAACTTTCAGAAAAATAGTCTCCAAATATGAATACATCATACCAGACTTTTATTTTCAGGCTTCATTCTAGACTGAATTAAAGAATTCCTCTCCACAGGAAAATGAGAATACTCATAGGTGCAGTAATAAGTGATTAAAAAATAATCTGTGATCTTTTTGAATTGTTCCAAATATGGCTGGAACTAGAGGTAACTTGGAAACACTTACAGGTAATTGCTACTACTATCCACAAATTATTCATGTGAATCCTAAGATTCACTTACCACAAACCAAAAAAGAAGTCAGCTTCAGGGTGGTCTGTGGGTCTTTGAAGAACATACTCCTGAGAAGAGATAATCCGGTAAACAATCTTCACTGAAACTAAGTCATCTCATCTTAGATCTTATTCAATAAATTCACCAACTATTCAATCACTTGGGAAAATGTCTCACTGTTGTTCTACAGAGAAATGAGTGAGCCCACAAGAATTTTAAAACCTACCTGTCTGAAGTAAAGGTTCATATCTCAAAAAGGGGTAATGTAGAACCTATAAGTAGTTAGAAATGAAAAGAGAACTGGACTTGAAGTCAAAAGATCAAAGTAACTCCTAAGTCAGTTTTGTCCAAAGGAAAAGAGCTCAGACTTCTTCAAAACAAGTGCTCTCATATTCACAGAACCCTTGTGAGAACCGAGATGACACACGTGAATCAAGATCATTTAAATTACACCAACTTTGTAAAGCTCTTCCATAGAATATTTTTTATGGTTGCGTTCTAATCCAAAATATGAAACCGAAAATATTATAATGGAGTAATACAAAAAGTGTAACTGTTATATATGCCTATTTATCTTTACTGGGTGCAAAACTGCTACTGCTTGACTACTATTCCTCAATTTAACTAATTCTTTAAACGTTCGTGTGCATTTTCAGTTGACACTACACTTTTCCCACTCGTAACCGAAACAGATCCGACAGCACACATCTGGCTCAGATGAAAACAAGAAAGATTTCAAGGGTTACGAAAAATGCGGTTTTAAAAGCAAACGCCTTGTCAACGTAAATTCCTGAGGGAGGACTATCCACCGCGCGGCACAGGATCAGAAGAACAGGACCAAGGACCTGGGACCCCCAGGGGCCACAGGCCGCAGCCTCCGGTCCTAACAGCCATGGAACACCAGCCCTGAACCACCGTCCGCCCGGCCGCCTCCCTCTCCTCCGCTCCCTCACCGTCTTCACCCGCGGCTTCACTAAGTTGCTGTATGTGGGCTTGAGCCAGGTCCCCCAGTTCCTCCACTCGCCTCACCACAGTTGAGACTGCGGCCGCCATGGCCACAACCGGCGGGCACGCCCCGGCCACGTGACCACGCCAACCGAAGATCACCTGATCCCCCACCTTCTGCGGGGCGAGGGGGCGGAGCTCGACTGGGGTGGTTGCTGGGAGGAGACTTCAGCTCCGGGAGAGAACCGACCTGGGCCCACAAAGGTCGTTCCGGGGTGTTTCATTCCTCCGGACTGCCTCCTCCCTCCCATAATTCCGTGCAACCCTGGCTCCAGGGGCGGGTGTGATGCCGGGGCACACCTCCCTCCTGCCCCCTTCCCTCAACCAATAGGGAGCCACCCATGCCCCAAGGTGAGCCAATGGGAAACCAGCTCTCTCCGCCGGCGCCGGGGAAAATGAGCGCCACCGCGGCAGACCCACCAGCCGGAAGAAGGAGGTCGGAATGTCTGGAAAAAGGATCAACGGATTTGGCTTGGTAGCGAGGGAGGTTTCCTAAAATAAAATTATAATCTCTCTGTCGGAACCCGAAAGCCTGCGGGCCCCCGCGCAGCACATCCAAGTCTCGCGTGTGGTCTGGGGGAGGGGAAGGCCCCAACGGTCGCGGAAGTTCCCGGTCTACGTGGTGGAATTATCCTTTCCAAGGCCGAATTTCAGCGGTTGACTTTGTTTTGCCTCCGTCTTCCCCTAACCTGAGCACGTTTATTCCACCCGTCTCGCTTCCAACTGTAGTAAAAGTTGCAGCTACAAAACTCTTTCTGTTATATGCAGTTCTTCTCGCGACCCTTCGTGGAGGCGCTGAATTGTGAGGTTCAGGCTCTCAGCTGTGAGTTTCAGGCTTTTAAATGGTCAGCTCTTCTGCTTTGTGTTCCCCGACTGCTTTCTTGCGTTTGGTGGAACAAATCTTGAATTCTGTTTTTCAGTTTGGCACAGTATATCCATCTTCTTTCCTACATGGGAGGTAGTTGTTGTTGTTGTTGTTGTTTTTTGTTTTAGCTTAATAAAAATATACTTGAAAGTACGGAAATATTGTATTGTGATTTTTATAATTAATTGACCACAACGACTTTCTAACAGACCTGATTTCTTTCTCTGTCAAATCACTCTTAATATTGTGTGTTAGTTCTGTGTCCCCAGAGCCTCCTATGGTGCCTGGCACATAATACTCAAAAAATATTTATTAATTTGAAAAACAAAGCAAACCTCCAGTTGTTATAATCAAAATTTCTGAAGGCCAGGAAGTTTACGTTGTATAATCATGGTGGGCCAAAGAAATGTAGTAGGCATCTGAAACTTTGAAGTGCCAAACCTTAAAAGTATATTCTGAGCAAAACTTATAATTCCTATGAAATATTAAATAACTGTAAACTTTTAGCTGGAAACATACTTAACACTGGGAATTATTACTCAACTGATACACTGATGTGTGCCTATTTTCAAAGAAAAAGTTGGATGAGATCTGAGAATATTATGGAGTGTGTGGTTCAGACTTAATCCAGACAACAAAATGAAAAGAATGAGACTCCAAACCTTAGCATGATTCTGTGGTAAGTCCAAGACCATACCAAAGCAAACACCCATACAAAGCCCTCTTACCATAAAGTCTTACCATAAAGACACCAGGAAATAGTCAAGTCTTACCAATGTACACTAGACAAAGTATTCAAAGCCAGAGAACACCTGTACTAGAAAAGAAATACTTTTACTCCAACTCAGTTTTTTTTTTTAACTTTAGGAAACCCATATAAATAGAACAAATGACAAATACAATACTAGTTTATTTTTAATTTCAGAGAAATTAATAGCTGAATAATAATGTACGAAAAATTTCTCATAAAAGGAATAATTGATCTCACTGACCCATTTACCCCACCACTGATATATAGTGGATAAGATCCATTTATGTTTACATAAATATAAAATTCTTGGTTATTCTTGAATTAACTTCTATTATTTAGAACCTTCTTTCAATCATTTTATATTTCTGTACGCATTGAATTTCCTTTTTAACTCCCAATGAACAGATATATAGATACATGCATATACACACACAGATTTTATTGCCACCAGTGACTTTCATATAACTTTATTACATCATTGCTCCCTTTCTCATTTAATGAGCTATTATTGGGTCAGGCACAGTGATAGGCACTGGAACTATAGCAATAAACAAAATTAACATGATCCCTGCTCTCTTATAGCTTATTATCTGTAAGACAATATAAAAATAATAAGAACAAATAAATGCATAATTTTAGAATTGTAGAAGGTGTTGTGAAGGAAAAGTTAAAGGGATATGATTTGGTTTGAGAATCTCTCTAATCAGAGAAGGCATCAGGAAATTATACTAACACCTAAATAATGAATAAAATTAGCCAGTTGAGTGGAGAGCATATAAATCTTCATGCAATCAGAAGAGAAACCACAAGGTAATTTGAATATGGAAAGTTCTATACAAGGAATTATTAAGTATAACAGGGAACTAGAATGACAATGGATTGGCTACTGAGAAGCCAAAAAAAATTTAAATAATAAATGAATGGCAAGTACTGGGAGCAGCTGTTACCATTGGAACAGAGATTCAGATCTTGTAAGAGAACTTATGGCCATGGGTCACTGGTCGGCAGAGAAGTTACAATATCCTTGCAAGTGAAACTTCCTGGAACTCCATCCTCTAGAATTTGCTTGAAATCTGTCCTGTAGGTTTCCAGGGAAAGACATTTATGGGAAAGCATTTCACAGTGGGCAAACTGTTAGAAAACTGCCTGAGGGGAATGCCAGGAGAAGATGCTGGCTACCATGCATTACAGGACTCCAGCGCCAGAAGCTGCATCTGTGGTAGGAGTCAGATGTCAGCAAGCCATCCATGCTTCAGGAGCCTGCCAAAACACACACACACACACACACACACACACACACACACACCAGGAAATACCTTTTTTCCTCCTGCAAGGGATTTCTAATTCCTTCTACTCTCAAAACTTAACATCATATCAGCTGACAAAGGAAAAATGATTAAAAGGCCCAGATATATTTGCACAAAACAGGGCAAAAAGATAAAATTGGAACTGAGAGGCAATAAAATCTATAACTGGAATAGTGTGGGAAACCATGTCAGGTGCAATAGATAACACAAGCAAAGACTCTGAATTTTGAAAGAGCATGGAATTTGCAGGAATAAATAAAAGTTAAAAGCTCCTACAATGGAAGGGAAAGTGAAGTAATGTGAGGCCTAAAAGCACACATGGAGGTTACCTGTTGAGTGCAGAGCTCCCTCACAACCATGGAAATGGATCCCAAGACCCGAATGTGAGCCCCAAATGTCAACTTGAGCCTGTATTTGGGGACCATGGTGAATTCATTTATTTAATTATATAGTAATTAATAGAAAATTTAATTCATATTAGCTCTTTGGGGACATCCACCCTATTACCAACCAATAGGGTCATCAAAACATAAGAGATCTGGGTCCAAATACAACCTCTGTTCTTTTACACTTACCATATGATGATGGGAAAGTTCATTAAATTTTATAAGCCTCTATTTCTTCATTTGTAAAATGAGGATTGTGATAACTATCTTTGAGTTGTTCTAAATTAAATGATCTTTGTAGGATGTCAGACTATTCTCCTACATATAGTAAATAAACAGTACATAGTAGTGAATAAATGGTTATTAACTTCTGGCCAACCCCAACTTAATTCATTAAATCATATATTTATTGATCATATGCCTTGATCGGCAAATTCTGCTGTATAAAACATATACAACAGAGGAAATGGATCATTGTAAATGAATGATCTCCACCCTCAGCAGAGGCAGCTATTTTTCCTTAGATCCATTCTCAGTTCCTTCCCACAAAGGTATTTAAGAACTTCACCACTTATATCCATGGATTCAGTAATAAAAAGAAATGACTTGATATATGCAAAAGCATGGATGAATCTTAAGGGAATTATGGTGAGAAAAAAATAACAAGCCAGAAAAATTATGAATTGTATGATTATTTTTGTAGTTCTTAAAAATGACAGAATTATAGAAAAAGAGAACAGATTGGTTGTTACCAGTCTTAAGAATGGGGGAGTATGAATGAAGGGAGGCAGGCAGGTGGTTGTGGTAATAAAAGAGCAGCTTGTGGTATAACTGTCCTATCTGTTGACTTTGATGGTAGATGCAAGACTACATGATCATATTTCATAGAACTAAATATACACACACTGTTACAGTTTATATATGAGGTGTCCCCTAAAATCTCATGTGTGAGACAATGCAAGAATGTTCAGAGTTTAAATGATTAATTTCTGAGAGGTGTAACCTAATTAGCCGATTAATTCCCTTATGGATTAACTGGGTAGAAAATCATAGGCAGGTTGAAAGTGGCTGGAGGAAGTAGGTCACTAGGGCTGTGACTTTAGGATTTACATTAGGATTTACATTTTGTCCTTAGTGAGCAGAGCAGAGACAGCGCAGTCTCTCTTTCTCTTCCTCCCTCCCTCCTTCTCTCTCTCTCTCTCTCTCTCTCTCTCTCCTTCCAGGCTATTACATCCTAACTTGCTTCCCTTTGCCATGCCCCTTTGCCTACATCCCTCTGCCATGCTGCTCTGCCTTATCTTGGGACCAGAGCTATGGAGTTGGTCGACCATCAGCGGAACCTCTGAAACTGGGAGCCAAAATAGACTGTTCCTCCCCTGCATTGTTCTTGTCCGGTTTTTTTCTCACATCAACAAAAAAGCTAACACACTCACACACACACACACACACACACAAATTGAGTTCATGTAAATCCAGTAAATCTGAAAAAATTTAATAGAGCAAATCAATGGCAATTTCCTTCTCATGATTATCATATTGTAGTTTTGCAAAATGTTCCTTTGGGGAAATGGGGGGAAAGGTACAATGAGATCTTTTAGTACAATTTCTTACTGTCACATGAGAATCCACAGTTAACTAAAAATGAAGAGTTTAATGTAAAAAAATGTCACCATATTCCCAGTGTGATACATCATTTGAAGTGACTTTTGACATAGAGAAAAGAGTGGAGGGTTAAGGGGAACTGACTAGTTGGCAGGACTTTATGAGCAAAACAACATAGAGAGGGAAGTAAAGTCCATATTTAAGAAAAAAGCCAAATGATTTAGTTTAATGGGAATCTGGAATACAGCTAGTTAAACATTTCAAAATAAAAATAGAAAGGAATCCTTGAAACATGCCTCACAGTTCCTGGAATTGAGGCATTTGGACACTTTGGGGACTTAATTGTACAACCTGA